TATATGTTGTTCCAAATGCGATGCTTAAAATTCTCACAAATGATGAATAAATAATGACCTGTAATTTAATTTCTTTAAAAATCACATTATTAAATAGTAAACTAATTAAAAGCAATAGATGATTGTGGTCGTCTTTATTAATAAAATAATCTAATCAACCAATATAAAAAATAAAACAAGATGTGCTGTTTGAAAACGGTAAAGGCTTTAGTTTTATAAAATATATTGAATGAAATTGATGATTGGTCATATATATTAATAATAATCAGTATTTGTAAGAATTATAATTGAAACCATTATTTTTCATTTAAATACAGGCACATTTGCCTAATTACTTGTTGAAAGACTGTTTAAAGGAAGATTCATATGTTCTTTTGCATTAAATCCTGAACTTTTATCAGGGTACAAGATCAAGAGAGAATACAATGGAAATATTGAATTTGATATGCATAATAAATAATTTACTTAAAATATTATACATTTATTGATTACGAAAGACAAAATGCGTTTTGAATTTCCAAAATGTAACAATGAATGCGTCCTTTCCTTTTTATAAAAAACTTCTAAAAATGTTTTGTTTTGGTCCAGGTATCAGAAACAAAAGCCCCTTAAATTATTTGGTATAGTTATTGAATTATTTATTTTACATCCTCGTGAGGCCAAATATTCAATATGACCATTTTGGGAAAGAAAATTAAATCAGTAATGTATTTATGAACTTTATTTATATTTATTGATGGTAATAATACAGTCATTTGTTTTTAATAAAAAAGAATGGGAAGGAGTATTGAGTATTTAAAAACATTTTCCTTGGATTCACAGAGGTTTACATCAAATATTCCCATTTTCCCCCAAGTGCTTGCATTCAATTACTGGGGAAAAAGTATTAGAATAAATCATGTCTTTTGGACAATAAATATAAAAACTAAATAAATTTTGACATAAATTCTTCTAATTTTGAAATTTTTTCCCACCCCAACTGCATTGATTCCTTTCTTTAATTTGCGTAAGGTGATTATATTTGGTATCTTACATTGATGATGTTAAATTTAAGGTATATATTATCTAACCATAAAATATTTTGTCTTAATATTGCTTACCTTTCATTTTTATATAATAATTAAAAACAAACCAAAAATATGAGTTGCCTCGTGACCATTAACTGTAGGTGATGTGTCTATGATAACGTCGTTATGCATTTATTTAGTCATCCTATGGAATGTGATTAATATATTGAAAATCGGAAATTAACTAACTGAATGAATGTATATTAGTATTAAAACAATTAAATATTTTTGAAAAAAAAAATCAAAATTAATGATACTTAAATGTCTTAAAATTCTTTTGAAAGATCAACATTATATCCTCAAAATCGTATTCACAAAATTGTAATTAGTCTAGAATATTTAAAAGAGAGCCTACTAAATAAGATGGGAGGAATATATTAGTGACAATAAAAGTTAGTTAAATTTATATGAGTTTGACTTATAAATTTTAAAGTCCTGTATTCAAATCTAATTACTGATATGAAAGTTTTATTAGTTATATAAATATTTTTATAAGTGTCTTTTTAAGTCTATGAACATGCCTAACCTTAATGAGTTGCTGATATGCAACTCATGTGAAATCAAAGTTTGCCTTATTAGTAGCATATTTGCTATACATATATTATATGTTAATGTATTTATTGGTATATTGACTAATAGTAATGTTTGAAAAGCTTCAATAACAATCGTAATCATTTATAAAAACATATTTTTAAAATGTTTAAAGATCATTAATTTGTTCTCTGGCCCGCAGCAATTTTTCTTTCTCCAAAATTCAACGCCAACATCAAACGTCGTGGTTCTCTCTCAATTTCCATAAATAGATAGATATAGTTAGATGAATAAATAAATATACAGTTTTTCGGTCAACTACCCTGAAAAATTGTTAAGCATAAGGAACTATAAACAGTTAAATTGCAAAAACTGTTGAAAACGTTATTTGGGATCCTTGTGACTTGTTTGGTACAATGAAATTGACCTTCTCAAAATGAAGAAGCAAAGGAAAATATAAAATTTTTTTGATTGATGCACAATCAATGAGATTCTTTTTCCTTTTCTTTTGTTTCTCATTGAATTTAGATTTAGTGAGTGAATTTAATTTACTTTTTCAATTAGTGTTTTACAAGACGCAATAATAATCATTTAATATAATTGATGGCTATAAGAGATTTTGTTATATAATATTTAAAAAATATTAAATATTAAATTTTTGGAGAGGATGATATATATGAGCAGTGTTCTATCATGAGAAGTGTTTTGAATTTTTGAAGGAAAGTGAATCTTAACAATATTTAATTAATAATAAAATTCTAATTAAAATGCTTAGTGAGTGGATGAACTTAGGAATCGAAATCCATTTGCCATCCGCCCAAGGAATGAGATTTCTCATCTCTCCCTTCAAGAGGATAAAAATTAGGCCCATATAAAGTTTTATTGGATCTTCTGTTTGCTGGGCCCAATCGGATTGGGCTTTTTGGACTGTTTGAATTGTTATGTAGTCATAACTCGTAAGTCAGACTGAACGACACTAACCGATCACGACACTCAAATCCAAAGCTCTGTTCACATGTTTCCACGAGCCCTCGATCCTCATTGAACGTAACGTGAAATAATAATAATAATAATAATAGAAAAAGTTTATACCCAAAAATAAATTAAAGAAAGAGAAAATTACAAATAAATCTCATATAAAAAACTTATTTACAAATAAATTTCATGAATTTATGAAAAGACACTCAAATCTTGGGGATTTTGCGCAATTAATTTATTATATAAAATAACACAAATACCCTTGGACTTTTGCTTCTTCAACTAGCGTTAATCGATCACTAGTGATCGGTCACTGGCTGGCACTGAATGATCAAAATTTTTTTATTAAAATATTAATATTTTAATATTTATAAGTCAAATATCATATATTAACAAGTAAATATTTCAGATTCACAAGTAAAATTTCTTACATTTACAAGAAGTTAGACTTGTGAATTAAGATGTTTAAATTATAAATATGTGAAATTAAACTTGTAAATATGTGAAGTTAACTTGTAAATATTATCAATATTGTAAGATGTTGACTTATAAATGTAAGAAGTTTGAGATATAAATATTGAAGATTTGCTTTTAAATATGTGACATTTGACTTGTAAATATTAAAATATAAAGAATTTAATAAAAATATTTTTTTCCAGAATTATTTATTGATTGGTCAACATCAGCCAGTGACCAGCAACGCCAGTCAACTCCAAACAAGATGGTAATAGTCCAATGGCATTTGTATCATATCACATGATAAATTCATTACAACTAAGCCTCATGAGACTTGAGTGTATTTGCATAAATTTGTGAGACTTATTTGTAAAAAAAAAATTTTTTTATATGAGACCTCTTTGTAATTTTTTTTTTGAAAAATGTAACTTATTGATCATTGAATTTTTTTTCTCTTGATTTAATACTTAAACAGTTTTGATTTCGAATAACTCACTTATTGAATTTTTTTTAAGTCAAAATAATTTCATCTTTATAATTTTTTTGACTCAATATATATAACTCAGTCTTCATAATTTTTTAATTCAATAAACTACAAGAATTGATTATAAAGAGTTAAAGTTTAGAAACTAGATCAACAATTGAGAGAAAATTTAAGAACAAATAGTTATGTTATTCCTAATAATAATAATAATTTTTTAAACTATTTAATATTAAATGGAATTTTAATTAGTACTCTAGATTAGATTGATTCAAATAAATTAATAATAATAATAATAATACTGTATAACGTTAGAGTCTAGCAAGGAGGTAATTGTGGCTGGAACGAGATAGGTTATTGGATGCTTAACAGTTAACACTAATACTATTCCCTTTTCTTTTTAGACTGACATTATTATTCTTTCTCCTATGTTTGAATTAATTTATTTTTCCATCAAACACTAACACATACAAATTATGAGAAAAATTAAAACGTTTAGTGCTATTAGTCATTGAATAGGTTGTATATTTCATTCTTCAATCGACACACACACACACACAGCCCCAAAATGACAATATATTAGCATATATATGAATCTAACGTACGTAGGCATATATGAATCAGCATAAAACGTTGCCAAATATCTCCAATTTATATTAGATAATTTTAATTAATTTCAATTCTTGTTAATTTAAATATATATAAAAAATCTCGTTCAGATCAAAGTATCTTCAAACACATTTAACACGATTTCATTAAATTATCAGAATCCATATCTCCTATATGTTGTACAGGATTCTTAAATAGTAGATATTTATAAGATTAACTAAATTGAAGGTTATAATTAAAACTTAATTATCTCGAAAGAAACTATTCTCTTACGTATACTCTTTCTTGCATAATATACAAAGTGTTCGGTTTTGCATTCAATTAACAATATTTTTATAATCTTAAATAAGAATAAGTAAATAAATAAATTCAAAATTTTTAAAATTTAACATGAACGTTAAACTATTGAGAGAATTATTTATTAATTTATTGGTATTAATATATTATAATAATAATTTTCAAAATATCAAATCCCAACCGTTCCAAACTTAATCTTAGAGTTATGATGAAAGATGGTCCTAGGAGATTCATTGGCTCAACCTTAATGTTTCTTATAAAATATATTTATATTATTTTAAAATTTAATTTAAAATTACACACATACACACATTCCCTTAACCCCAATTCATAAACTCGAATAACATGAATGGCAATACATAGAAATTATCAACAAGAAGCAGAACTTTAGAAATAACCTCAAAATTTTCAAGATATAAAAAAAAATAAACAACAAATTTTGTATATCACATAAAGCCTTCTTTAAATTTTAAAATAAAAAAAACACACCATGTATCATGAGAAAATATAATAAAGCAATATCATATATCGATAGAGTAAAAAAGTGCTGTGATTATTTGACACGTAATTTATTAGTCCAAAATCGATCAACCCTTAAAGCAGGGTGTAAATTATAATCATATCGCCAAATATCTCCTTCCCTAGTGATCATCATCTTGGTCATCAGATCCTGTCCTTCATCTTTCTCTTTCTGGTTATCATCATTACGATTCTTCATGAGATCGCCGGAAGTACAAGCTTTGCAAAACTCACTGAACTGATGATTCTGCGCAGGTAAATTGCTGAGCGGTGTAATTTCTACGTACGTGACTATTATTAGCCTGAATATCGTCGACGCGCAGAGTCTCAAACGTTGCGTTGTTTTGTACCGTCGTCGGAATAGCCACCACCTTCACCTTGCTCGCTGCCGTCGCAACCTTTCCCACTATTCCGCCGATGGTAAGACCGTTCGGCAAAGAAAGAAGAACCGTCAACGGGAAATTACTCTCCGGCGAGTTCATGGAACCAGACGGTGGGATTGGGTTGACGGTGCCGGAAAGTGACAGGATCGGGAAGGGTCCGAGGATGGTTTGTATTGGTTGGTGGCAGGTGATGATGTTGGAAAGTTGACCGAAGGCCGTTAAGACGGTGATGGAGACTTGACGCCGGAGACAGAACTGAAGGAGCGACTGTTCCACGTTGGCGCCGGCTGGGATTTCGATGACGGCCGTTGTCGAGTTTTGAGATTCTTCAATCTTGAACGGTGTGGTGGGTGTCTTGGCCTGGTTCTTGGAACCCTTGGGTCTTCCCACAGGCCGTTTTGGCGGCCGGAGAATATGGTTGTTGTCAGTAGCTTCGCCGGTGGGGATTCCGATGACGGCAGTGGAGTTCAGAGATTGGCTCCCCAGCGGTGGTGATACTACCTGACGCTTGTTCTTTGAACCCTTGGGTCTTCCGACTGGCCTTTTTGCTGGCCGGAGAATTTGGTTGTTGCCGGTGGTGGGTTCGCCGGCGCCAGAGATGAAGTTTCCGGTGGCGGGTGAGGAATTGTTGAAGAGGGAGATGGTTGGAAGATCCATGAGGCTAGTGAAGGAACTTTGAATAGTCAATAAAGAGTGAACTTGGAGTGATAAATACACACACGCGTTTATATATGGGGAGGATACGAGATATCTGATTGCATATAATTTATTATTTGGTTACATGTTATTGGATCATTATCAAGTTATTTAAATTAAATTTAGACTAAGAAAATATATCATATTTTAATGTTTGCTTGTATTTAAATACTCCAAAATAATATGTTTATCACATTTTTTCATTTTATTCATTTTGACAAAAAAGAGAGAGAAATATGAATTCCACACGTGTATATACAAAACTTCAGAAATGAAATTTCTTAATAATGCAACTTCACCTTGATTTTACATTACGTGGATTATGGATATGGCGATTATTGATTATCGATCCATTGATACTCGCTAGATTTTTCTTCCCATGCGATGCATGAGCATTGAAAATGGTAAGAGATAAAATGGTGTATAATGCTAGGTTCTATTAAGAAACTGAGAAAAGATCATTATAGGAATTAACATGCATCTACATTCTATAAGGGATTAAGGGATATGCATTTTCATTCAATATTTTGGAATATTTATATACATAGATGGTATTTGCAGTCATTCTTCTTCTTCTTCTTCTTTTGAATCATGGATTAAAATCTTCAATCTATCGCCATTTTTAACTCTTGAAGTAGTTACATAGAGCCGTTCATGTATGAAAAACTGGTTTGAGAAGGAAAATAGCAAACATAATTTTTGTTAAAAGATTTTACGTGGGAAAATTCCAACAATTAAAGCTGTGAAATTTCATTTAGTTTTGGTAGCCTAGTAGAATTGTTGGTAATTTTTTATTCCCTCCTATGAAGGATAAGAAATCTCACCATGAAAGATTGAGATATCATTTTAATTATTAAGAAAATTAATTAATGTGTCAATCTTCTAGTTCATAAAGCAAGCATTTTATATTCTCTTATTTAACAGTCCGCCCATGAATTGTAGAAACCTCATGACTTTTGACATGACCTGAATTTGGTCTCCTTGCAAGGTTTTTCCCATGTCCTTCTATTTTTTTAAAAAAATACAAACATGAAAAGAAAGACAAGATCATAACAACAAATAATAAATGTGTGATGTTACCCAAAAAAAAAAAGGATATGTAATGGGAATTGTATAACTAATTCCAATGCAAGGCATGAGTTGGATCTAAAAGTACATATTCAAGTGAAGCTAGGAAACTAAGTAGATGATAGGCAATTTCTAAGTGCCGAAGTCAAGCAAATTTGTTGGCCATGTTGAAGTCCTCCAGCTGGTGAGGGTCCTCTCTTTTATTGATGGCAAATAGCAATGTTGCTAAAATTGGACTGAAATGTGACTGGTTAGGATATTGATTTATTAAACTGTGATTAAAGGTGAACAAAAAGGAACAAAACTGATCACGCTAAATTAATCCAATAAAATTGAATAAAACCAATTATTAAAAGGTTTGATTTGGTTTTATAAATTTAAAAGCCGAATAGTTTGGTTTAGATTTCGATTTTTCGTCTTCTGAAACCTAAGTCAAACTTGAACTATATCTTTTATATTTTTAAATGGAGTATTTTTTCTATTGTTATATGATACTTTTAGTGTTTATTTTTTTTAAAATTTTAATTTCAACTAAAATCGAACCCTAACCCAAATACTTTAATAGAACTTTGATTTCTCAATTTTGCTATTATACAGCCAAATGAATACTCATGTTCTTTTAAGAGTGATCTTTTAGATAATTTTAGATATAGAATTTTTCTTTTTATTATCTAAAATAATTTGTAATGAAATTTAATTTGCGCTACTCTGGTATTTATTGATAATTAAATTTGAATATTTTTATGATGTTCATTTCCATTCATGCATGATATAAGTTAAGAATGTGACTTGAAGTTGTAATATGAAAGAACAAAGAGTCAAAAGTTATGGGTAGTCTTAATATATAATTTTATATGTTAAAAAAATATTAACATTTGTTCTATGTATAAATCAAATCGAACTAAACTACCTAAAAATTAAACCAAACAGATATATCATTATTTATGCAAATTGATTAATTTGATTTGGTTCATGTTTTGATTAAAACTGAGCCAAACCGCACCTTTGATCACTCTTAATTGTGATTGGATCGTGGTTCAACTGGACTCAATAAAAATAATAAAATTTAAAGATTATGTATGAAAAATAAAAATATTTAGACAATATTCAACATATTATTATCATAAATATCAAATATACAGTTAATTGCACCAATATTATAAAAATACATTTATCATCAATTACAAAAAAATAAAATCATCAAGCATGCTACAATAATGGTCTAAGCAAATCAAATCAACATAAGTTTTGATTACTAAACTAAAATCATTAATAAATCATCGTGTACATATATAATGCTAAAGACAAACTAACCACTAAACAAATAAAAGCACAAAAAATAACATAATTTTGAATTATTGAAAAATTTTTAACATAATAATATACAAACTAGGTCATAGTCTTCGTAGGTCAACTTTGCACCGATATTTAAATTGGTTTCACTCCATATATTTCTCAATCTATTGCCAGGGCTATTAGTGTCGCTTAAAAACCTGATTAGCATGATCCTGCTTGAGCTATTCAGGCTCATCAAGTTAGGGATAGGGGTCAAGTTTTGCGTTGCCTAATCTAGCCCGAACATGAACTTTTTTTTTGTTTTTAATTTTTAGTTAAAAAATTTAATTTATGGTTTTATTTTTAGTTGAGAGTTATCATGCATTATATTATTTTTATGATCTTTTTGGACATTTCTTATCAATATAATTTATTTATAATTTAATTCTATATAAATATAATTGACAATTGTTGATTACATGTTATTTTAAAAATAATTACTTTTTGATCATATATTAATTTTATAAAATATCTATTTTAATTAAATGATAATAAGTATATTTTTTAAGGTATTTTTTATATTTTTCAAAAAAGAATTTAAAATTCTCTTAGACGTAAGCCAAACTCAACCCCAAATTGCATATTTAGTCAAACATCAAGCAAGGGTGATACATGTCACAACCCGACCTGTGTGCACCCCTAATGGTTGCTGTTGAATGTTTCTTTTAGGGATTTGGCTCTTTTATCAGAGAGAGCCTTGGCTGAGCAACTAGATGTTTCTTTGGTGAAAAGCTCTTGCATAGTTTAGGATTTGGCTTTTCAAGATCTTGCTCCTCAAAGTCTATATATCTTGTTTAGACCTGGCTTTGGTTCCCCTCAAGGTACATGTTGTTTGGATTTGGCTCGAGTTTTTCAAAATTTGGCTCATCTTGACCTAGCTCAGACTGCTGTAGACCCAGCTCAGACCCCTTAAGTTCTAGCCTCGGTTCATTACGACTTTGCTCTTTTCCTATTTGAAAACTCTTGGACGCCATTCCCTAAGCCATCTACTTCTAAAACTATCTCTTTTGAGTGGCTCAGATCAGCTAGCCACGTACCTCCTTGCATTGGTGATATACGACTGTGAGGAGAGAATCTGGCTGAGGTCTGGATCTAAGATAACAGGCAAATGAGTCTTGGAAACTTGTGTATATTTGTTGAGCTATAGTAAATGAGAACTAAATATGATTGCAGGTCTAGGTACTACAGAAGGCTAAGAGCTATACATATGATATGAATGCAAGAGCTCATGACTTGATTTTGCTAGAGATTATTGTTGGGTGTACTTGATTAGTGGCCTGGGATCTCAAGGCTTTATCGCACTTTTTAATGTACTCCCCTCCTGTTTTTATTATAAGTAAGCACATTTTAAAAATATTTTTTGATTTTTAGTATAAGGCATTTGATCAGTATTAATTATGTTTTTCCAATATTATTTATGAGTGAGGTAAATATAATGCAAATTTAAAAGTTTTTTATTTAAATAGGGGTAGAATTGAAAGTTTATTTTATTTTTAGATAAAATTAATGACTTAACCACCTTTCATTGATTATGGTAAAATAGTTATATGTCTTACAACAGGGACCAAAAGTAGTAATTAATATTAGGGGAAATTGATCAGAAGGACCAAGGGATAAATTTATTTTGAAAAAGGCCTAAGGATGTCCGTCAAATGAATTAAGATCAAATGAATTAAAGTTATAATTTTATTTCATCGAAAAAAAAGTTATAATTTTAATTCACCTGAAGGATCTTAGGCCTTTTTTCCAAATATCTTTACGTCATGCTCCTTCAATTCTTACCAATTTTCCCTCAATATTAATCATAGCATTTGAAGATCTTTTAATTTATGTTTGTCTCTGGCCTCAGAAATCACAACTATGGGGCAAACAAGAATTTGAGAAACAATGGATTAAAAATAAATATAAATTACGCGTAATTCCTTGTACACTAGACAGATGCTGATAAATATTGTTTATGAATAGTGTGACTTTATATTAATTTTACGTTATTTAAATTCAGACTATTGATATATAGGATATTGATTATCCATTAATATTAACTAGATTTTCCTAGCGGTGCACAGCACGAGGCATATAAAATGGAAAGACATAAAATGGAGTATAGAGATGGGTTGCATATTGTATTTATTAAGTGATTAAGAAAATGATTATAGGAACGTGCATGAACAAATAATAACTAATTAATGCATTTTAAAAAAATTAATTAAAAATGATGCATTCGTTTGATATTTTGGAATGTTTGTCCATAGATATAACATTTACCATCATTGTTTTTTGTTTCCTTTTACGAATCATGAATTAAAATCTTCATTCTATCTATACTTTTAATTAACTCTTGAAAAAGCGATGTAGAGGTGTTCGTGCACGAAAAATGGTTTCGAGAGAAAAATAATTAACATGATTTTTCTTAAAAAGATTTTAGGGAAAAAAATCCCTGCAATTAAAGCTCCACCAAATGATCAAAATTAAACATTGAAACTCAAAGCTCTATTGATATTTTTCCACAAGCTCTCATCTCAATCAAAAATGTGAATCTCATTTAGTAATTGCAGCATTATATAAAATTGTTGGCAATATATTTCCTTGCTTTCGCGTGAACGGCCATCTAAATAATAATGGAATATGAAAATTTTTGGGTCCTTTGCCACCATTTCCTCAAATGCAAATATAAAATTGAAACTGATAATAACAATGAATTAAATGAGATGGAATATAATGGAATTGACTAAAAATCGAAAATACAATGGATCTAAGCTGGATCTAAAAATAAAAATGTGTGTATAATAAACTAAGTGAGTAGATGATGGGCTTGTAAATGACAAGTAAATGTGAATGTTGGATATAAGAGCCAAAGTTAGAATTTATGATGTGATCAGTCCATGCCAAGAGCGCAGCATGGAAACGGGCAGGTCTGGTTTATATAGACATGATTTCCATGTTATAATAAATGAAAAGATACTTAGAAAATATAGTTTTATCATTGTTGAACTGTTAGCTGTTGAGTTATTCTTTAAAAAATATAAATGTTTTGGCCTCTAATCTCTTTATACTCATAGAAAAAGTAAACTGGAAAGTGTGTGACATGAATAACAAGTTTTTCTTTTCTACTTGTCTGTTTTGTTCATGCAAAATAGATCATTATAAAGTAGGAACTGTCACAGTAGGATATTTGGTTAAAAAATACAAGATATTTTTAACCGAATCTCATCTTTTAATAAAGTAGTAAATTATTTTCAAACTAACACCATATTTACTTATTTATCCATATATATAGGGTGCTTTACTTTGAAATAAATAAAGTAATTTATTTATTATGATCACTTTTGGAAAAACACATTACTGACTTTGAAACACTGAAAATGCATTATATTTTTTAATATCAAACTCTTTTAAAAACGCCTTACATTTTTTAATGGATAAAGTACTAAAAAAAGTATGCACTTCTCACAATATAACAATGATTTTATATATTATAATTGTAGTGATGAAGAGAATGCTTTTCCTTGTGATCTGTGGCTATTTATACGGTTTCTGATTCAAACAAGGCTTTTTTTTTCCCATGATTGCATGCAAGAATCCTATAATTAGAGACAATTTTATTTGAGATAAAGTTAGATATTAAATAAGGATACTTTTTCTAGTAAAAATTCAAATCTTAACTTGCTATGTTATGGGGAACTAACATGCTTTTATTAGGTTCAACGCTATTAATTTAAACAAGGCTCTGTTTGAGAGCTTCCAGATGCTCCAACATTTTTTGGGTCTATGAACATATGGAAGATTATGAGGTAGATGAATTGGAAAACTAGAGCATTTGGGGGCCCTTTTTGAATATAACATGAGATCATATATTAAACAACAAAAATCATTATAAGGACAATAAAGATAAAATTAAATCTTCTCTTCATCCACCATCTCACTACAACAAGGTGGTGGTTGATCAAAGGAATAAAATTTTCTATCTAAACCATGTGCTTAACATTTTAAGGTCATTTGTGGGCCTTCACCAGCATTATTTTCATATTTCAAAGATGATGCTGTACCATCTTAGACTTTAGGTTGATTATTAGTTTACGCGGAAATAATTTAAGCTTGTATCTTAACTTTTTTTAAGTTGGGTTTGGGCTTCAAAAAATAGAGGAATCAAATAGGGTGAGATTGAGATTGAGTGAGAGGGACACGGGGGGTTTTATCGAATAATTGTTGGACTAGTCGTGACTTGTTTTTTTTTTTTTTTTGGTCCTTAGTTGTTGTATGAGTCATGAAAGGAAAGGAAGGTTAAAGTGGGCAAGTGACATGCATATCTCTGGTAAAAACATTTGAGTTGAATTTTCAAAAATATGGACACTATTTTAACAATGAGACATATGACTAATATTTTTAAAGAGAAATGGCATTTGTTTTCGTTCAAAAAAAAAAAAAGAGAAATGGCATTTGAATATTTATATAAAATAATACTTATTTTGAACATTTTAAAAATTAAGATATTTTCAATCAAGAGGAGACGCTACTTTACTATTGAATTCTATTTCCACTTCGCTTCTCATTGCAACTCTTAGTTGAAATTTGAATGATTAGATAATTTAAAAAATGTCTTCCAACCTGCATAAGTGATAAGGTGTTAGGCTCTTCGATTTTAATGATTGAAGCTTTGGCTTTGAGGAGAGCCTTATTATTAGCTAATGATTTTGGGGATTCGAAGGTTTGTGTGGAGGGAGATTATGAGGCTTTGTAAGGCTATTCTTAGTGATGTGACTATTAATTGTAATTGAAAAAGTGTCAGCATTATCAATAATATTTGTTCTTTATAGCCTTCTGTGAAGAATTGTTGTTTGTCTCTTGTTTATAGAGACAATAATGAAGTTATAGATTTTTACAAGTGATGCTAAAAAAAAGATAGAACAAGTTAGTTTGATATTATCACCTCTATTTACCTTGCCTTGAATTTGCTTCATGATAAGGCTAAAGCATTAAATGTTGGTGATGCTAGGATAGATGTTTCTTTTGTAAAAAAAAGCATTGGTTGATACTTGCTATTTCTTGTTTTGTTGTTGTTGTTGTTTTTTGTTTTTGGTTAACTTCTGCTGGATATTTGGACTGTATTTATTTTTCTGTTGAACTCGTTATTGTTTTTTTGATATACTTTGGTATGTTAGGTTGTATTGATAGTTTTTTTGAGTATATTTCTTTGGCTTCAACTGTCAGTATGTGTAATTTATTTTTTATGATTAATAATATCCACTCTTTTCTGGCAGAAAAAAAAATCCTTGTAGTCTCAAAAAAAAAAAAGAATCATCTAGAAGTCCTAGACATGGAAGTTAATTATCAATAAATTTTTGAAATTAAGTAATTTTGTCAATATGCGAAATTAGTCAAAATACTCAAATACCCTTTGACCATCGTGACCTTTTCACCTTGACTGGCTTGACTATGGGCGTTGGTCTTTGGACCATAACCGGCGGCTAGTCACCAGACGGTGTTTTATTAAATTAATATTAATATTTAATAATACTTTATTAAGAATATCAAAATATTTAATCTCCAAATTAAACAAACAATTATGCGATTAATCAAAATACCGAACATCCACTCACACATTACCAAAAATAAGTGCTTAACCATGAAGTCACAAATAAAAAATAAATGACAATTTAAAAAACCAAGTATCTGCACTTCAAATTACTCCTAAAATAAAAAATAAAAAATAGTCCTAAATTCTAAAAAAATGGCTAAAAAAAAGTGTTTTACAAAAATCACTGCTCTTAGACTCCCTCGAACGGACTCAGATCAACAATGGGACTCAAAGAATTCCAAAAATCATCATCTAGCTCATCATTCTTCGAAGTCTTCGTTGCCGTCATCACCAACATCATCAGATCGTCTTCTTGATATGTTTCTTTCTCTTTCTGGTTATGATTATTGCTGAGAGGTTCAATTTCTACGTTATTATTGTTAAGCTCCGACGACCAAG